TGTATTATCTCCAATTAAAGCTGACAGTTGGACTGCTAAAACATTCCCTCTGGCCTTTCCCTCTACATGCACAAGAAATTTCAATTAGAGTAAAAAAGTTAAATATGCATCATTGCCAGAGAACCAAGGTATTATGGAATAGGAAAATGGCTTGCCAAAAATATACTTGAAGACATAAAGAATACACCTTCAAATTAACTGGATGGCACATCTTTTAAATGTTTTGAATATGAGAATTAGGAATGGTAAAAGTAAAATGAGAAAATTTAAAAGTTATGAATTTTTAAATCTAGTGCAGTGATATTTCTTACTCCTTTTTAACTCTTTGAAATAGCGGTGCTTATTTCCTAATAAACTTTTTAACTAATACATTGCTACAAAGTCTAAGTCTGTTCCTTAATCTTAAGACAATACAGAATTATCTCAAACAATGAGAGATTTGTGGCTTTAAGAAACTCAATATGCAAAATTTCTGTAGTCATTGTTTCACTCCATAAATATATTGCAGGTAATCATGAACATATTTTTAAAATGAGATTATAAATTCATTATTTGTATTTGTTTAAAAGGATTTTGTTTTCACCATTAGCATACATACTACTTTTTCATTTTTAGTGAAAATATGTGTGAGACAGGATTGTCTAAATGAGAGCTGGATATTCTGAGCTTATTATAAAGAAAGAAAAGCAATTTTAATAAGTAAATTCAAGGAAAATATCTTTCCCTGATTTCCTAGCACTGTGTTTCATGAATTGCTGTTTATTTGTATTTTTTAGATTTACATGTGCAAAATATGTATGTTCTCAGTTTATTTATGTATAATAGTAGTCTCTTATAATTAGACCTTTTAACTGAAGTTTAAAACAATGTGCTTTGTTAAGTAACTAATTCGATTAACTTTTGAAACATCAACTTCCCAAAGAAATGTTCTGATTTTAGACAACTATTCAATCTTCTAGCTATTGTACTTTGAGGTATTTATTGAAAGAAAATTTATCAAAGCACATTGTCTAAAACCTATGATAAATGAAAATATAATTGTATTAAAGAGTAGTATGGTCTTAGAAATCGTGGTACAAGAAGCACATGCTCTCCTAGGTAGGGGACATTTTTCTAGGTTATTGGGTAGAAACTCATTGTTAATCAGCTCTCTGTTGCTGTCACAGAAATAGTTGAAACAATCAACTTAAAAGGAAGAAAGACTTATTTTGGCTCACAGTTTCAGAAGTTTCAGTCCATGGTTGATTGGCTCCATTGTTTCGGGGCCTATCGTAAGGCAGAACATCATGGCAGGGAGTGCATGGTGAAGCAAAGTCACTCACCTGGTGGCTGGGAAGGAGAGGGGGTGGGCTGGTGTCCTAATACCCCTTTGAGGGCATGCACCCATGTTCTAACTTCCTTCCCCTTGGCCCATCACCTCCCAGTAGCACTACAGGCTGGTAACCAAGACTTTAGCATAAGGGCTTTTGAGGAACATTTAAGATCCAAACTATAATAGTCATTAGTCCAAAAATTATGTAAAGATGGATTATGATCCAAGTTATTTAGTATGGAAATAATAATATGGGGCTTTCTTTATGGAGACTTAACTGTAAGGATCTACATTATCAGTCTATTTCTTAGCTAGAAGTTAAAAAAAGATCATTTAGAATGAACTTATTTCTGACAAATAATACGACGCAGATTTCAGAGGTTCTAAGAAAATTAAATAACTATATTTTAGTAAAACCAAAACTTACTTGACATTTCTTCCAGGGAAGGTGTCACAGTATCTGAATATTACAATTGCAATTGAATCTCTGCTTTCTGCCTATGGGAATACTGATGATGGAGCAAGAGCAACAATGTGATGAATCAGAATGTTAGTACCTCGAATTTTATCTGGGCAGCATTTGTGTACAGGAGTTTTATAAAAAAATCCAAATACTATACCATATTGTCATAGAAAGTATAAAAATCAAGTTTTCATCAGTGATGGAATTTGCTAAGTACTTCTAAAGTCTAGCATAGTAATTATTTAATATCTCAAATTTTTCCTAAAATCTTATCTTACCTTGATAATCAGATCAACTACTATAGTACATAGATAGAGAGGCTTACCACTGTCCCCTCTTCCTACCATCAAGACTAGTATCAAATTTTATTTCCTGTTATTTGGGATGATTGATTCATAAAATTTGGTATATAAAATTTGAGCAATAACCGTATCTCAAGTACAAAAAAATCCATAAAAATTCATGTGCTAAATCCTACTCTTATAATTCATAATAACAGAGTTTATCATTTCCAGACACAAGGCTGAGCATTTGGGTGGCATATTCATGGGTGGATACTAGGAATAGTGAATGAGGAAGTAAAGTTCAAAAGGGAATTTGAAACATCGCCAGGATATCACTATATATATATATATTTTTTCAATATGGACATGAGAAGTTCAATCTAAAATTTATGTTGCTGCCTTATTATATTTATATAAAGCCTCTGTGATCTACAATGTTTATTTTAAATTCTAAACATGAAAATAAATTTCAAAAAATGTTTACCTTTTATTTTGGAATGTTTGAATCCCACAGAAACACACACAAAAAAAGAACAAAGAATCACATCAGTTATTAATGTCAGTTATTAAACCAAGAGCTGTCTAGAACCAATGACAATAGTAATGTAGGGACTAGGATTCCTTTTAGACCATCTGTTGTTTTTTTGATGATGCTATTATTTAAGGAATATGTGAAGAACAATTAATAAAAATGAGTCAGTTTTAGGAGAGGAGTGAGTAGGCATTACAAGTTATGTATACAATATTTTAAAGTTATTATTTGGATGAGGAAATAGGGTAATTCCTGTTTAGACTGTGGAGAGAAGTTCCACAGAGTCAATGTTAGTTTAATATGTAGGACACCTTTCTAAGTGATTTCAACAATGAAATGGTTTGCTTAGTAAATGGTGAGAGTTCCTCACTGGGAAGATTTTCTAGTTATAAATGTAAACATTTAAGGTTATTACATAATTGGGAAGTAAATAAAGCTTTCCTATGTATTTAATTCTTATATATAATTATAGTACATGTAATGATATATAACTAAAATTTATTGAAGTATTATATACCAGGCAATATATGGAAGAAGCCTTTACCAGGCCTAGTCCTTTCAAGTCTTAAAAAAAAAAAAAATTCTACACAAAAACATTTTTCATCATTGACATTTTTTGATCACAAAAATTGAGGTTTAAAGAGGTGAAATAACTTGATCAAATTTACACAATTAGAAAGCAGGGGAGTTGATACTGCATAAGGAAAAAATGAGTATCTTCTCTTAGAGATACTGTAGAAAGCATTTTTGTATTAGAAGAAAAAGAAATAGCTGTTTCCTATGTCCCAGCCACATCCATGGCAGAATGTCTTTTTTAAACGTTTGAATGGAGATAGGCAAAAACAAAACAAAACAAAAAAAAACCACTACTTATTTAGTTTTTAGATTTCTATATTTTTGTTATCTATTTCACAATATTTACAAAAACAAAAATATAGTACAAATAGCAATTTAGTCACACTGGTCACTTTGGACAGTATAAGAATACTTGCAATTTCAAAATAAATATATTTTGGAAGACTTTTTTTTTTTCCATCAAAGATTCTCACAATACCAAGTTCTTGTGAGACAGCTATTACATGAAGTTAAAAATACATTAATAATTAAGGGATGCACAACTGTTTGCTCTATCTTTCCCTGATACTTTTGCATGTTACTTGCTTTCCTGAAACGGAAGCAAAACAAATTTGCTTCTCTGGGTATGCTTATCACCTTCAAAGCTGTAACCCTTTCTTTGCAGTGATCACTGTGTTTAGTGAAACTCTGTTTAGTGGAAACTTGGGTTTAACCCCAGTGAGATTTTTCACGTTGAAAAAAATCTCATAAGGAATTCTTTAGGGTCACTGCCAAATTACAAGAAGTAATTTGAAATGTAAGTGAAGCAAAATTATATTGTGCTGCTGTCTTAATGCCTTTTCTACTTGCCCTCCCTCAGCATCCCTTAATCCAGTTTTTTTCCTTATAAGAATGATCTTTTTGACTTTCTAATAAGAGCCAGTGAGTAATCCAGTATAGTGTAAGAGAGTAGTTTCACTCTCTTGCTTTACCCTTCCCCATTTTCCCCTTTCCTGTGTGCCCTCTGCTCTGGCTTCCTGGTTTTAAGTTCTGGATGATAACTGGCAATAGCAGAGATACCATTGTAATCTACCCTTAAATTCCAGGGGTTTCTTTTATTGTTCAGTCTCAGAAGAAGTGTCAGCTTTCTAGTCTTATTTATTTCATGTTGAATCATCCTGTTTTTTAAGGCCAGATGTTCTTACCGTTATAAAGCAACAATGTTTATAAGAGGACAAGACTTCCTGTTCAGAAATAGGCTCCTTTGATGGGTCTCAATGAAACCGAGCCAGCATATTCCAAAACATTCATTCTTGAACTGGCATTTCATTTCTGAAAACTTATTCATATTTATAAATAAGAGTAAATGTGCTATAAAAGAAACTCTTTTAAGGTTGCTGGAAGCTCAGCTTTTCTTTCTTCTTTTTCCAAATATGGTATACAAAAAAAAAAAAAAATAGTAAAGAGATCAATTTGCATGCTTCCCATATTAACACAATCAAGAATAATTTACAATACAAATCAGTAGGATTCCAGAGGATACATGCAAATTAGATCTTTTAAATCAAAAACTAAAGAAATTATTGAATTATAATTAATTGCAAAGTAATTTTATCATACATTAGATGGGTTGTAGGAGCATTGTCAGTCAGTTATACAGCGCAAAGTACCCTGACACATGGATGCACCTTTTTCCACTATTTTAAAATGCTAATGATCATGAGTCTGGCCTGTCTTCCAGTCAGTGAAAGGAAAGGTTAGTCTACTGCTCCGTGGCCCCAGTGGTCCAGTGTTTTCATTTATTTGTTGCTATTCCTGTGTTCTTGTTTATCTTCATTTCATTTTTGTTTTCAGTTGACATGTGGTCAGTAGGGTGCATCATGGGAGAAATGATAAAAGGTGCAGTGCTCTTTCCTGGCACTGATCGTATCCTTCTTAGCAGCCAGTGGTCTCTATGGGTGTCATTCTCAATTATTTCCCTTTTGTTTCAAATACAATAGTGTCCATGGTATACATTTGTTGCCCTTAGCGGGTTTCTGTGAGACTCAAATGTCAGATATCTACAAGCTGGCATCTGGTAGAGTAACCTTGTCTCTTAGCATGACCTTATATGGATAATACAGTATCAAATATGAAAGATGCAACATGTTATCAAAAGGTCTGCCTTAATTCAGTTCTGCCAAACTAGTAACAGTATAATAACAAATATATTTGTTATTGTAGATATTTGAAAATCAAAAATATATTCATAGTTACAAAATAGATGATAGAATCTTTCAGTTGTAAGGCTGAAGATTTATACTCTCATATCATAAGAATATTCACTTGGCATGGAAATCATTATTAGGCTAGATTTACATTCACCCATAAATACAAAAGTTTTAACACATATGCAGAGAACATGTGTATAGATTTCATTTTCAAATTGACCAAACTCTTCTAGAATTCTTTTTCTCATTCTCTCAATTTACAGAAATAATAACTCCAACCCTCTTCTTATATTCTTTATATTATTAACAAGTACAATAATTAAAACCTCATTAATTAACAATGATTAAATAAAATATCTGAAGAAATCATTTTAATCACTTGGAGAAGAAAAAGTAATTCTCTCTTAAGCAGAAAATAATTAGCAAGTAAAGACTCTGGAGGCTCTGCAGAATCAAGAAGATATGAATATTACTATGTTAATAAGTGGATGTGTGATGGGTCCCTCCATAATGCTTAAAAATAAATTACTCCCTTAAGTTAACCCAGTACTCCCTATATTCACTCACTTATGAAAATGAATGCCTTCATCATACTAAAGATAAAACCTCTACTTAAATGATTATAATTCAAAAGTAAAATTGAGCCTATAATAATGGGGTTTTAATATTTAATTAGAATCAATGTAATTACTAATATAGTGTCTCCACACCACATAATTATTAGCCATTTTCTTTAAGTTTCTGATACATGTTACAGTTCTTATCAAGTGTCTATAATATAATGTGCAAACATGAAGATGATATATATTATTTATATGTGATTTTGCACATATATAAAGAGTCACATATATAATTTCATACACATATTCATTTTATGTTTTAAAAGGAACAGTTTGAGAAATGACTGAATAAGGCACACACACAATTTTTATTAAATGAAAGAACTTCCCTTGATATATTTCATCCAGTTAAACATAAGTTAAACTGTTTTTGCTTTCTTTCTATATTGCTGTTTTATTTTCTACCTATGTCTTTTATTAAATGTCATCTATAAATTAACCATATTCATTTTAATGCTATTTTAAAGGTATATTGGCTTGATTCCTTTAGATTCTTAAAAATTATGGATTTATTTTATTCCTAATGACTTATGAGCTTGTGCTTGGCATTTGGTTCTAGACATGAAATAGTCCTTAAAATTTGGCAAACTTCAGAGAATTTTATGAAAATAGATCCTATAGACTTTGCTTTTCCAGAGATTCATTGTGGTTGAGTAATTAATGACTATGACCTGTAAGTTAAAATTATTATCTTCCTTACTTTCTTTACATTTTCTATTAAAATATAAAACTTATTTCCACAACTGAGTTATTAAACACAGCTTAACATTTTTCAGAATCTTTTTTGGGGGGGAGAAGTTGCTTGGGTTTCATTTTTTACTTGGATGTCACAATCTCTTATAAGCAATGCTTAAGGCTGCTGGTAATGTTACAAGGTCAAGTGAGATGCCCTGGGTATTTTGATTTTGAGCCATTTCTTAAGGTTGTTTATGAAGACAAGAAATTTGCAAATGTCTTAGAGGACAAATTAGCTGTAGTCTTTTAATAATTTCAAGCATGTTGATTAAAGGTCTAAATCAGTGTTTTTTTTTAAATGTGAATTATGGCCTCTGAATATAATAAAGTTAATCTTTTAAAATATAAGATAGATTACTTGTTTAAAAAATTCTTTGTTATCAGAAATGGCTTATCTAAAAAGACAGTAAAATTATATTTAAATCTATTATTTAAATAAAGACTTCAAATAAAGCTGGAGATAGACAATATGTATAATAAAAATTTATATAATATATTATGAGGAATCATATTTTCAATCAAAATACCATGATTTATATGAAGGCATTCTCAATCAAGATTTTAATATCTCTTAAAATATGAGCTATGCATATTGTTTTAACATATAATTCAACAGCAATACTTAAAATATTAATAATATATTTTTTATCTTTTATACCTAAAAAAATTGAACATGTTATTTTTGGTTAGAAATTTAGGTAGCCAAATAGTTCTTAAAATTGTATATAATTTTATTCTATTTTAGTAGTAGAATTGTTAAAGTATGTATTAACTGAATTTCATTTAATCAACTATTTTTAACTCTCTTCCAGATAATCAGAATTCAATGATTGAAGTAATTTGCCAGGGGGGAGGGGAGCTAGCAAATTTCATCATAGCTGATATTTTTACTTTAAAATTATAAAAATATTTTCTATTATTCAAGTGAGTTATTATTAAATATATAACTCTGGAAGATTAACAAAATGAACACATACACTACCACTGAGTTTAAAAAATAAAACACTGCCTATATATATAAATTTTTTTTTTAAAGAGAGGGAGAGAGAGAAACTTTTAATATTTATTTTTTAGTTTTCGGTGGACATAACATCTTTATTTTATTTTTCTGTGGTGCTGAGGATCGAACCCAGCACCCTGCACGTGCCAGGAGAGCATGCTACCGCATGAGCCACATCCCCAGCACTCTACCAATATTTTTTAATCCTTTTGTTTACTCTTTTCCAGCCACAGCTTCTCTTGTCCTCAAAGCGTGACCATAAACTTTTGTTTTTACTATCTCCTTGACTCTCTTCATATTTTTACCACATGCAGATTTGTCCTTAAACAATGCACAGTTTAGTTGTATGTTTTACATATTATATTGTCATTGTTATTTTTGACATCTTTTTTAGAAAAACTTAACATTTTACTTTTTGTATTTATCCATGTTGATGTATTAGAAATAGTTAACCCTTTTCACAGGTGTAGAAATTCCAGCTTATGAATATCCTACAACTAATCCATTTGAGTCTAAATAGACTTCAGAATATATTACTTAGTATTTAATATATTAAGAATACTAATATATATTAAAAGTATTATTTTGTTTTGCTTTTATAAATATAATATACTATAAAAATTTATAAATTTGTTATTTTAATTTATATTTTATAATATTTATAAATTTTATATAACAATATATTAAAGGTATTATTTTGGTTTGCTTTTATAATGATACTATCAACTTATATCTCATATATTGGATTTCCATAATAATAAATTGCTGTAATCATAATAGACACATTTCTAACGTTACTGTATAACTTCAAAATGGTTTTCTAAATAACAGTTTGTATCTGTTTGCTGTCTGCTCCACATCCTCACCAGCTTTTAGTATTTTTTATTTAAAGAAGTATTTTTGGTACTGGGGCTTAAATCCAGGGGACTTTATTACTGAGCTACATCCCTATCCCTCTTTATCTTTTATTTTGAGACAAGGTCTTGCTAAGTTGCTCAAGTTGGCCTTGAACTTGAGATCCACCTACTTTAGCTTCCCAAGTCATTAGACTTTTAAGCATGGCACCATGCCCTGGCTTCAGATTTATTTTTAAATGAATGACCAGTCTCTTGAATTAAAAAACATACTGATCACTGGAACTTCAATTTACATTTAATGGACTACACAGGAGGCTAAGCAGCTTTTCCTAAGATTATTGGCCATTAGTAATTTCTGTTGTTTTTGAAACTCTGTTCTATTGTGTTTTTTTCCTATCAATTATTAGAAGGTGTTTATATAAACACTTTGTTCATATAAACACTGGCATTTTATCTTTGTCAGTTTCATGTGTTGCAAATGTCTTCCCCATTTGTATTATTTTCTCATTTTATTTTATAGTGATTTTTGAATTTGGTAATCTATTTTTTTTCCTTTGGTTCCTATATTTTTATGGCTTAAGAATTCTTTTACCTTTATGTTCTCTGGTAATTAAACTCGGTGTTTTAAAAATATAATCATCTACATTTAATATTTTGGTCCAATTGAGACTTTTGTATACTTTTACATATATGTGTGTGTGCAAAGGAAGGATCCAATTTAATTTTTCCCAGTTCTTTGTATTGACTAACTTATTCTTTCTTTAGTGACCTATAATGCTGCTTCAGTTACACATTTCCACACATTGTGGTGTTAAGTTCTGGTTTCTATATTCTATATCACTGGTCTGATGTCTATCTCTACCACTACTATCCTCTTTTAATGAATAAAAATGTATATACTCTTCAATAAAATGTATACTCTTCAACTTTATCAGGTAGGGTAAGTAATGCCTCCTTTTTGTCTCATTCAGTAGTATCTTGACTGTTAATATAACATTGTTCTTCCATAAGCATATTTCATGTGTTTTACCAACATCTATGAAAAAAATCCTTATTAGTATTTATATTGCAATTATATTGAATCTAAAGTTCAATTTGTAAAAAAATGAATTTTTGATTAAGACCAGTCTTTCTCCTAAATATACAAGCAACTTAGTAAACATTAATTTGATCATTGCTCTCCCAATTTCAATGTTCTATTAACGTTGAGTAATTTAGTTCTATGTTTTAGGCTCATAAATGGATAAAATTATAATTTTATTGCATTCAGGTTGAGTTTATTGAAATTCACCCTATGATTACCATTTTCTTAGCTTGCCACTGCTTCTTGTGATTCAGCCCTTAATTTTAAAATTTATTTTTTTCTTGAAGTTCAACTTTTAGAAATTTCTTTAGTGGTGTCTTTATTAATAAAAAATTGGTTGGGACTCTTTTATTTCAAAGATGGCTTAATTATATATAGAATTTTATATTTAATTTTATTTTCTTCTAGCATTTTAAAGAT